CACACCGTCCCCGCGACGTTCCCGTTTCCAGATACGACGCACGATTCGAAACGATACACTCGACGCGCTTTTGCGCAACCCGCATCCGATTGGATTTCCCTTAGGCAGCGGCGTTTTACATGCGGGTCATTATTGAGCGTGTGCATGCCGCGTAATGTGTATCGGCGATCGCGTTTCATCGTTCCTGTCGACTCCGTCGCCATTCGAATGACAATGTGCAGTGAAACTCGTAGCACCGCGCAGGAATTCGGAATGGAACGATTGGAATGACAAAGATTCGGATCATGCGATTTCATCTGTTACGTGTCTCCTTTGATTTTTGTGTTATCGATGTTAACCCTTAGCTCTCGAGAGGCGATCTTTGATTCAGTAAAGCGTTACATGTAATATTAACCCTTTGCGGACGAACGTCGACATTTCGGGATGAAATGTTGTTTCGAAGACTAAGTTGCCAACAAATGATTTAATTATTCAACAACAAGAGATCAGCACGTAGTTTCTGGTTTCTCTATTATTTAAGCAATTGGTGTATAATTTAGCTTCGTCTGCTGAGGGTTTTGTATGTTTCAAAGAATCTTCATCTAAGGGTTAAGCTTTGTAATGCATGATTTAAGAATATTTGTGAAACATCGAAGTAAAGTAGCTTCGTTTCCTGATTTACGTGTATCGTCTGATTTCAGAGAATATTTCCATCAAGCGCAGAGGGTTAATTTCAGTGCAAAGAGTCCATTGTACAGGTACACTATTCTCGGCGAGACATTTGCTTTAATAGGTCCTTGGCGATAGTTAAAAGTGACATTCAATATTCGCGCGGACACCCGTCACGGTGTTCGCGCTGGCCCGGTCCTTTTCGTTTAACCATTTCCTCATTACGATACGTACCGTGGTGTGTCGGGCGTATTGGTGTTCGGCGGGGTTCAAAGCCTGGCAGAGAGTAAGATTGGCAGGTTCGGGGTTGAGGAAGGAGTCCGTCTCGTTGGTGTTGTTCAGGGTGCAGCAACTGAGAGGCACCACTAATTCTCTTCTTCCCACTTCCTGCAGCCGCCACCAGGAGGTACCGTAATTGCTGCTTCCGTTTATGCCGCAGCAAGCAAACTGAAAAGGTCGGCGCAATTTACGGTATTCGATACCGGTCGGGGTGTGCGCGTAATTGCTTTCTACGACACGTGAACCGCGAATGCGCGTTTCGGGAGGACGCGGGACACTCCTCCCTTCGGTCGAGCGGATCGCCTGTTGCTTCCTCCTTGTCTATTCACGAGGCTGCCTGCCCGCTTTTCGACGCCGATCGTTCGGAGGAAATCGCGATTTTGACACGAATGAGAGTTTCGTATTTTATAAGCGGATTCAATTGGAATTGGGAATTTTATGATGACTAAGAGGATGCCTAATCGTTTAGCAGAGTGCTCGTCCGAAATGCTCAACGTAGCTACACTCGGGATTCGTGAAGGTTTTCAAACTCCGAGCAGTGGAACGTCTAAAGAGAGAAGACTCTAATGTAGATCAACGATTCTCCGGCTGGAACTGGTTCAAGTTACAGAGACCGGGGGACTGATATGAATTGCAAACTGGTGTAGCTTGTTAGCTACCTTACAGTAGAGTGCAAGGTAACGAACGAATGGTCCTCGGAGATTGATAGAAAGCGATTTGTACGTGGGTTGACGAATTGATCTTGTCGTCGAGCGTATTACCTCCGGGCGACTCGAACCTACCGTGGTCTGCGCGAGATCCAGGGCTGCCGTGAACTGTTCCCGACCTGGAACGGCGTAGCTGCGCTGCAAGGCTCGTATCAATCGCGCCGGCCTCACGTCGATGCCCAGAACGTAAGGCCAAAAGACGACCAGGACGCAGACGACGCACTCGCCGATCAACAGCAGGACGATCGTGATCAGGTACTGCAAACACGATGCAACAGGGATTTCTAATGACGCTCGATCAAAAGTGGAAACTTATGTAAACTAAGAGAAAAAGAGACAGAGGAGAAAACAGAAGAGAAAGCGTTGAAGAGTAACGATAAACACGTGTCAGCACCGATTAGCAGCTTTCAAAGCTGAAACGAATCACTCTATTTTATTCGCTATTCCTTGAGATTATAGCCTGCGCGTTTACTTTAACGTTAATCAATTCGACTGACGCTAATGAACGGCCGTAGCTGCGGCTAAATTGATCATCTACAATTGTAACTTATCCGACCGAATTTCATATCGCGATGCGATGCGTCGAGCGCACGATGAAACGCGCCCGCGAGCTCTGCACGCGTTCGTTCCTGTAATAAGTGGCTCCTGAATAATTGCTGTTTTTATATGTTACACGGGCTCGCCCTCCTTCCGCGGGCACGCGTGCCTGGATTTATGTAGATCCGTTTCCGGGCAGCGACGCGTGACCGTACACCGGCAAAGCGGGAAATCTGGTTTTACCTGGGTCCGCCGAGCAAACTCATCGTCAGGGTCCGTCGAAGAACCGTCGCCGAGACCTTGGTTTCCAGCGATTAAAACCGAGGGCTCGCTACGGTGACTTCTCGAGCGCGCGGACACCGCGAGATAATGCTATCTGCTATTGTCTCTTATTATGGAAACGCGCTACCTCAGGGTCTATGTCATAATGCCAGTCCTGCTACAGTTCCCTGTATGAATTTCATCCGTAATAGTCTCTCATGTGAATCCAGACTCGAAGGACATTTAATCTTTAACAACGCGATATTCAAGCTTCGAAAGAAATCTCATACGTTACGGTGTAACTAAAGATTGACGCGAATTTGTGTTTCCAAGATCGCGTCGGATGGGATATAACCTTGACTGTCGTGGGGCACGCGTGTCAGGGTGAAATAGTTTGAGAGACAAAGAGCCAAGGACTTGTCCAATTCTGCGGCCTAGATTGAACGTGTACGCGATGATTTTTTTGTAACAAGGGGTGTCTCACAGAGATTGTAACGCATCGATTGTAGAGGCAAGTCGCCCAGCATCCCAGCAATCCCGTCAGCGTGATTAAAAATCCCAGTCCGACGATCGCGAACGCCAAATAATAGAAGAGCGGCTGTTCGGGGTGGATGTCGCCTGGCCCCAGCAGACGCGACAGCAAAATCCGTTTGTCGTCCGCTAATAACAAAGCGCCCAGCGACATCAGCGCGAAACCCGATATCTGAAAATTGAGAGAACGAACTTTAACACCGCCTCGAGCTCCGCGACCTTCGGCAGACGTGTTCCATCCCCGATGGAACGCCGAAACGTTGGATACCGTTTCTTCGGCGACTCACCAAGAAGACGACGTTCGCGCAACAAACGAAGATCCGCGACAACGCAAAACTTTTCGATTCCATTTTCACACTCTGCATTTCAAAGTTACATGGATCTCTCGAGGTTCTCCTTTTTCCCCCGGTTTCTAAACACCGGTGACAATCAGTCACGTTAATCCCTCGCGATGACACTCCATTAATCGCGTGAAATCCTGTTAACCGGCTACGTCGGAGTTCATACGAAATGTTCTCTGTACGGTCCGATTGCTTTCCCGGGCGTTACTTCCAGCAAGAATTTCGAAGCGTACGTGCTCGCGTTGACCGGAGAACTAAAAACCTCGCGCGTGATACATGGTTCCGCGGTGCAGTACGAACACTAGCATCTGTAGGTGCGCTTGCGTTGCGAGCCCTCATGCGCGACCGACCAGATGGAACCGGAAGGAAATAGAAAGGCACCGGACAAAAAACTGGAGGGGGTGAAATGTCCATATGCACATACCTTGTGCGATTGTTACAGATACGTGTCGTGTTCGATGGATTTCACATGGGGGAGCACCGAATTTCAAGGCAATCGCTGCGGGGGAAGCCGTTCACCCCCTTCCTACTTGAACACAACGAATACAACATGTATTAATCAGATAGAACATTGTAAAAGAATTGTTTGAAGATCGTTAATTAATGATAACGTGCAGAGATAATTGATTAATATTGTAAACATCAAAAAATAAATTCCATAGTAGAGAATAGGGGATGATATCACTGGAAACGAAATATTAAATTTTTCCAGTGATTTCATTTGATTATTTTACGTCAATGCAAACGAAATTAGTATTTAATGAATTTAATTTAATTAAATTCTTTAAGAGACTGTATAACTTGCATTATCTGCGCAGTTTTAGTCATCATGGGTGATGTAGGTTTCACGTTCTGTACGTGTCTCTATGCATTGACAGAATGATATCTACGGTGAAAATTACAGTACAGGTAAATGTGTTACGTGTATTATTGTAAGTGTGCACGAAGCCTATCTCCTCCCGTCTGCATTAATTCACGCATCACAGTGGGCACTCTGGGTAAAATAGCGCGGGCAGTGCTAGAACAAAGCCACGTGTAATGTGAGCGGAAGGGTAGCTATATATTTCGAAGAGTATGCAACGTGTGTACAAAGATTTTTATTAAATACGTCCGTATGGAAAATGTATTTACAGTTGTCGAACGTGCGACATTCGTTTCATTAAAAATCAAAATTTTTGCGCAACTGCCCGCCGCAGCCAGCGTTCGACGGAACTTCGTCTTGTTCCCTTTGCGTAGTGTCTCCCAGTTCAGGTGGTAAATGTAAAACCTAAACGATGGGATGAATAAAGAATTAACCGTGTTCAATGTAAAATACGTGTAAGAGTTTAGCTACCTCGATGACAAATTTTCTGCGGCGCAACTTGAACACGAGATCTCGTGAATCTGGAACATGATTGGCTATTGTATTCAAGGCGGGTAATTTTTTTAGGTGCAATAATCCGTGGTAGTCCTTGAATATCGGATTGGTTTCTTTCTGCGAGCCCATAAACGATTCTAATCCAATGCTGACATCCGACAAGTGTTCAATGCGTTGTACGACATCACTCTAGAAAATCGTTGTATACGATTTTTTTTTTTAAGAAGATAAATTAAAGAGATATGAAAAGTAAGACTCACCGAATTATTTAAACAATCTATGGGTATTGTTATTACTGCAACTGTGTAAGAATATCTTAAGAGTACTCTAAGGAGATATAAAAATTTTAGTAAATCTTGATTTGAATTCTCTTCAGAATCAGTGAACCATAATCTTGATCCTAATGAGTGAATCGCAATTCTTAGAACTTGTCTCTTTGCTGGTGTTTCTGATACCGAATATTGCCCTTTTGTGATTGTTTCTTGAATGGATTGTAACAGTTTTGAATAAGCAGAGTTCTCAAATGTATTATCTTTTGTGGGACAACTGTTGTCATACCAATGTGTTATATCTGCTTTGTCTATGGTTTCTTTATCCATTGTTTTCTTAAGGTCATAAAAGTGACCAAAAGATTGCCCTCCACTCGGGGATGAATCAACGACCTTCATATTCTGATACCTCCAAGCAATTTTCATTTGATCATCAGAATGATGTATCTGTTCGCTTGGCCCATTATCTGTTATAACAGCTGGCAACTCTGATATAAACTGCGATGTTTCTAAGTCTTTGGATGCTATTAGTACTGGCTGATTAGTGACCACACCTTCAGCTATGAAGTACTCCAACATAACTTTGGCATAAGTGCTATATCGATCATCCTCTGAATTTTATACATAATACAAAATTTACATGAAACAACGATATCTATAAGAAATCTAACATAATTATTACATACCAATGACCATTAAAGAACCAATAGGCAATCCACCTCCTATTATATGATCCAAAGAAGGAATACCGGACGAGATAAGTAACTGTGAATTTTTGATAGAAGGTTTTGTCCCTGGTATGAAAGGAAATTTACTTCCCTTTATGGTACTCAAATCCATTTTAAATACTTATATTAAAACGCTGAATGTGGTGATATAAAATTTTCTTTTGGAGTTTTACTTGTTACATACTTAAAAAAAAAAGTTGAATTAATAATATTAGATTAATATTTACTTAAAAAAATAATAGAACAGTAGTATTACTTACATTCGATAAAGTTATTTAAAAAAATTAAAAATTACCTACGTTTAAAGTTTCTTTCACGTGCCACTACAAACATCATTTACAATTATAGGTTATGTTTACAACAATCATATGACACGTCAGTATATTTTAATATATTTTAATAAAATATATGAACGACATCAATGTAAAATGGAATTTTAAATCAGTAGAACAATGATATGATATTATATTAAATTAATATAATTCTGTAACATAATGTGTAGTTTATCGATTGTATTATAACTTTGAATTACAGTCACTCATTCAGAGGTGGCGCTACCGATACACTGTTGCAATCTGGGGCTGACGCTTTCCACAGTTTGTAAGGCTTCTGTTAGAATGCATTATGCACGCCGCACACATATCACTATATGCAATTACACTTCAGCCGTTATCTAATAGACATTCCCTATGTACATGTACTTCATCCATCATTCAATTATTTTACGGAAACGTACGTAAGTAGATTATTCTTTGAACGAACAAAACGACAACTGAAACGATATTCAAATTATCCGTATCAATTATTCACCTAATTTCATAATCACATTTACAAACCATTTCATCTGAAATTCCCACAAAAACTACAGATAAAACCGCTAATCGATTCGTCTCATTATTACGAACAATAAACACATGTTTCTCCGACATTAATTACATGCGAGAACTATA